GGTTTGCAACATAAGTACATAACATTATCCCACATCTTAATACACAAATTAATTTGTCCATAATTTTCAATAGTTCTCATTGCTTCAGGTAAAATTAACACGACTGGGACACAAGCTATGTTTAGGTATATAAAATGTTAGTTGCGATGAATTAGAACTAGAATCACAATCAAACTATATGATATATAATCGTAGAAAAAAAAATATCTAAGATAAAAATTTGGTTGAGAGAGATTTTTAACGTTATTTTATTATATAATAAATTAGAATCAGAATTAGATCGTAATAAAACAAAGATCGAGAATAATAGGGATCTTATATTATTCTCGATCAGCTGAATATGACAACTATGTTGTCTGGTATTAACAAAAGCGAACAAGGTTGTTAGTTGTGGTAACGGAATTAGCGGTTTCAAAATCAATTAGAAAATACTAATAGTTTAGGTTGTCGTGTTCGATGACGGTTTTTTCATGTTTGGACTCATCGTGTACATCTAAAATATAACTTCCGATTGTGAAATTCGTTGTAGATCATGATAAATATTTACAAAGATATTTGCAATTATTTACAAAGATATGTCATCTTGCCATTGTCAATTATAATAATCAATTATAAATGAAGAAAAAAAAAACAATTCTAAATGTCAACCAATTACCCTAGTTTAGATGATGTTGTGAAATCTTAAGCTCAATTCTTTTTTTCACATGAAGTTTTTTCCTAATTTCACCATAAAATATGATAAATTTCCGTGAGTGGTGAGACAAGATGCAGCTAATGCGATTGAACCACATTGCACTTTGGCATTTTATATATGGATTATACGTGTAGATATGAAATCATACGTAGACTCATCTAAAGTTTATAATTTGTATATGTCAATTATGTTTCATTTGTATAAACAAAAAGATATTATACTATTAGATATGGATTATGAACACATCAGCCTTGTCGATCCCACGGACGCGGAGATTCGCAGATTTGCCTTCTCGCTCTGCTCTGTAGTTTTGTCAACGCATTTCCCATTCCGATTCCTTTTTTGTACGAAGCAAAAGACATTTTTCGCAATCTTTTTTATTCTTTTTTTGACATCATCAAATGTCAACTTCAATAGTCAACGGCTTTTGTTCTTTCCAAATTGCTTTAAATTAAGAGAAACGAACGAGAAGCAAGATTGCATAGGTCATCAAAGTTAGAGCTCAAGAGGACCCTTTTTCACTTCACAAGAATTAGACCAATGTTCATATATCATTTTCTTCGGTAGCAGAAACACGAGTTTCTAGTTCTGTACTTCTGTTATTCAATCAAACTCGGAACACAGTCCAAGAACAATAACCAACAGTAGTAGATTTAGGGCTTATCCATGAACTGCCCGAGTTTAGGTGTTGAAATGTAACCACCAATAGTTTTGGTTACTGACATTTTGCAAAAGAGGTTTCAAATAAGAGTGCGAGGATTTGACAGTGCAAGCGTGTATACTCTATACATTAGTCTATGCGTCTCAGTGTTACAATTCAAGGGCCTTGTGTTGATAAATAACATAATAGTGAAGTTTCTAACTCTTGTTGAATTTAAGCGACTCTTGGCTTTGGGTTCAGCTCTGTCTCCGCATCCGTCTTTGGGGTTGAAGCAGTACCGAAGTTGCGGACCAAAATTTTGAAACATGGCAGCAACAGAACGTATAGTGCAACGAAGAAAAATGGAGTTGCTACAAGCCACCCTAGTAACTGCAATAACCAATAAAAACCAGATTTGATATGAGAATATTGGCAATTTACGAGTGGACTTATGTTTCAGAAATGAGAACATTGGCAATTTACGAGTGGTAATCAGACTTGCAAGTTACAATGGATAAGATCACAAAAGATTAGGCTAGGGAATGCCACACGCGGTTTCACAATATTCATGAGTAAGCTAAGAGAAAAGAGCCTCATTGTAGCTACTTACCGCATTACCAATGCTTAAAAAGACTTCCTGAGAGGCTTGACCGGTGAAAACCTTCTTTAGTGCATCTGATGTTAAAGGAAAATGAGGTCCACCAGTGACTTTTTCACCAAGTCGTAGGAAAGGCACCACGAGACTTCAATGTTGAAGACATGAATACCAAGTCAGTGAAAAAAAAAAAACTGAAAAATATAAAGATGCAACGGCAATTGTTTCTCAATGAAAGTGGCATAAGATTTACGCTAGTTCTACTGGAGTGGCAATGATATTAGCCAACATCACGGTTGGAGCATGACAAACAGATCCAAGAAACGCAATAGCTATTCCACATAGAAACACAGGAACACCTGTTTTCAAACCAAAAACCAACCCCAAATAAGATACATTGCAATTTCAAAAACGTAGTGTTTGGCACAAAGCAACGAGCGGTAAGCTTAAGAAACAGAGAAATGGCGAGAGAGACGTACCGCAGATGGGAAATATTCCCAGGGTAATACCAAGTGCGGCAGAGAAAGCAAGCTGCTTTGGCTCAGTACCTCTAAGGAAAAACAAAAACCAACTCAAATTACTAAAAACATCAACACTTGTGAAACAGAGAGAAAGAGATGCCCAAAACATCCTTAAGGAGCTATATGAAGACAGAAAAAGGTTCTCTATGGTCTCTCTAGAGCTTCAAATTAAGAAACCAACGAGGAGCAAGATGACATAAAAGGCCAGTTTTTTAAAGACCAACAATCAACAAAACAGCAAATGAGATCTATCTGATTCCATCTCAAAACTATCTAGAAGCCGAAACTCAGATCCATACGGGAGATATGATGATCACAGTAACGCGAAAACAGAGACGAAGAAGACAAACCTACGCAAGATCTGGAGAAGAGGATCGGTGATTTTCTTATTGAACCATGCTTTCAATCTACCTTTCGATAAACCCATCGCCGATTCCTACAAAATCTCAACGAAATTGTTCACCAGAAAGCGAGAGAGAGAGTTAACAGATTCAGATATGAAAAGTCGATCGGCGTTGCGTTGTTCATCTCTCCACGAAAACCAGTTCAAAGGTGGGGTTTTTCACAAAACGGGTTCGGGTAATCGGGTCAAATATTGGTTTTTAAAATTGGGTTAAAACCCGGTCGACCCGGTTTACTTCCCTATAAATTTCCCCTTTTGGTCTCTTAACCTTCGGAATTTCTCGCCGTCGCCGGTGAATTTCGATTTCGATCCTTTATCGCCGTCGTGGATTGTGGAAGGATTCATCAACAGTTATGCTTCTCGGTGAAAATTGTGTCCACGAGACGTACTACGAGATTCTCTCCGTGAAAGAAGATGCGAGCTACGAAGAAATTCGTAATAGCTATCGTTCTGCGATCCTCCATTCTCATCCAGATAAGCTTAACAGTTCTCGTTGTAGCTCAGACGAAAAGTTTCTGAAGATTCAAAAAGCGTGGGAAATCTTAAGCGATGCAGAGCTACGTGTAGTTTACGACAATGATCTTCGTTCTTCGAGACAGGACGGAATCACTGCCGATGAGATTAGCATTGAGGATATGTCGGTGGAGATCACTGGAGAAGTGGAAATGATGGAGCTTTATTATCAGTGTAGGTGCGGTGATTACTTCTCTGTTGATTCTACTGAGCTAGAGACAATGGGGTTTGTGCTGTTGAGAGATGGTGATTTTGTTCAAGTTAGGAGATTGGGTGCTTTTGTGGCATCTGTTGTTCTTCCTTGTGGATCTTGTTCTTTAAAAACCAGAGTTTTGGTCAATTCGGATATGAGGGTTCCTCTCTGAGAAGCTCAGATGTGAGCAATGTGGTGATCTCGGTTGGATTGTGGTTCAGGATTATTCAGATTTGATGATTTCCTCTTCAAGGTGATATCTTAGGATCGGTGTGAGACGAATTTTGTTTGATGATTATCTTGACTATGTGGATAGATTCATTTAGGAAAAGTATGTTTGGAGATGATTTCTTTTGAACCATGTGATCTTGGTCAATTCAGATTTGGAAATTCTCCTGCAAGATTTTTTCTGTTGTGACCTTTGTACTCATTTGTTTTATTAGTTCTATAAGAAACTTAAATTGTAATGGAAAACAAAAAGGGTACTTTGGTTTTGCTACTCGTTCTTCCCTCTCTAGTTTCAATCTTGTCTCCTTGCTCGAAGCTGAATATTTACTGACACTGTCTTGTTTTGTTGTGTTCTTGCAAAGTTCTGAGTCATAATCTTCTTTAAGTTTCATTTGTGCTTCTGTTTGGATGAATGTACGGATGAGAATCTGACCTAGGATTAGCGATGTAGGGGTACTTGCAGTATATCAAGACTTTGCGTTCTCAAAAGAATGTAATCTCTTTGCTACTACAGTTCTCTGTTTTATACTGAATTCATACTCCGATATTTACAGTAAATTTGATTGAGGTTAGATGTTGAGGACCAAGTTGGGTTGATTTCTGTAGGAACTGACAGGTTACCGCAATCCTGACTTTGGTGAAAGACCTAGATCAGGGTGGATTTCCTGTCATAGTTATTGGCATGTACAAATGTTTCAATAGTCTTGGCAGTTGAGACGACTCCTTGTGTTTTGGTAGAAACTTGAGCTGATTGATGGTTTTGGAAATCCACAGGTTGCGAACAATTAATTGTCCAATTGGATTTTAGGCTCATTTTGGTTTTCAATTCTGTAATCACAACGACTTCCACTTGTTTCAGGGAAAACTTTATCTGCAATAAACGGATGTGACGAGGAACACGTTGTTGGTGTTTGGTAAGCCAAGGGAAGGGCGATAGCACACTAGAGAGAGTAGAATGATCTTTCAGGTAGCTATCAAACTTTCTACGAATGTGTGAACTGTGAAGATCTAAAGAACTAGGAACAAGCTGTACATTCCTGTTCTATTGAATATGTGCTCGCAAAGTTTATATCCAGCATTTTTATTGCAGTATATAGTATTTTACAGATGATGTTGTGTAGTCTCGTTATCATTCACTGTTTACCAACCCATTCAAGTATATGAACTGTGATAATAAGCACAAAGAGATAGATAATCAAGATAAGATTACTTGATCCCATAGGCCTCTAAAGTGGATAGAATGTCCGGAGGTCCGCCATTCTCTTTGACATAGGAAATGTTAGGGCTATCTTGTGGAACTGCGTCCTCCCTTTTGAAATTTTCTTCACTGCGAAGAAGCTTCTCACTGTCAGATCCCACTGCACCTTTTAGAATGATGGTTTTGTGGAGACCACCCAGTAAGTCTTCATAGTCTGTGTCGCCCTTTTCTCCCAAAAAGAAAACAGACTTCGACATGTCAATTCCCCACCTTATCGAAAGATACCTACATAAAGCCATCAAGTCGTGTCATTTTCACTGTAGATATCTTACACGTAGTGTATATGGTTGAAGAATCTATTTAGTCTTGACAGTATCTAACCTGAGTGCTTGTAACCTGGAGGCACATAGTGGTATGACATTTAGCCTTGTTGCAGCATGTGTATAGATAATGTTGCACCTTAAACCTCTCATCCGAAGCCTCTGCCTAAGGTCATCAACTCTTCGAGTCTGCCATTGACACACATAAACATTATTAATTTCATGATTTTGAGGGAAGTATGTATGCATTAGATTCAATTTGTCCTCTTTATGAGAAATATATTCTTTCAAAGAATTACCTCGGCTCCTTGTTTCACAGAAATTGCATAGCATTTTGTACTGCATGCGCTTGTATACTCTGTGATGTCATCCTCAGTTGCAGGTTCTGTGCATGCAAGTCTCAGAATCACTGACCTTATACTTTCACCAGGCCATTTGTATTCCACATGAGCTTCATAGTCTGCATCAACCACCATATCTCTCCATGGATAGTAGATCTCACTTCCGCTGTTACAAACTATTGCATCGAAATCTTCCAAATTAATCAGGTATTTCTTTGTAATCTCTACAACTTCTTGCATGCTTGAACCTGTTGCCAGTACAAAACCTATTTTTCCTTTGTCTGATATCGAACATGCAGCTTTCATCACATTCTTGATTATATCTTCCAAATTCGCGTTGATGTCTCCATTGTCGTCATAGGAATCAACAGTAATCACAAAGAGCATCTGCCTTCTACCAGGGCTGTAGAGAACAGATGGGCTACCTTTCATAGAATTCATTTGAGTTATGGCTTCAACTAGTTTCTTCTGTCTAGTACCTGCATCTAGTTCCCCATTTAGCTTGAAATCTCCATCTGTGGAGAATCTCAAAGATATGTCATCCACATCTCCCAGAGAATCACTTATCGGCTCTTCTGGACCTTTCATTATGTCAAGACTACTGGTGGGGTGTCGGTTTCTGCAGTGTTCGACATGGGAAAGGTAGTTACGGCAGTGCTCTGGCCATGAAAAACGGTGGATGTTCTTGAGCCCTTTTTTTCTGCACTCCGCCCAGAGATGTTTGTCAGCAACTAGCTTTAGAAGGGCATCAGAAATGGCTTGTTGATCATGGGGATCGACTAGGAGACCGTTGTTTAGTGCCTATGACATAAAATATATGTTGATAAGCTTTTTGGGATCAGTGAGGTGTGGCTATGTCTTTATACAGTTAGTTTTGTAATAAGAGATTTGATTACCTTGACGATATCAACAGGCCCACCATTTCTGGTGGCAACAATGGGCAAACCATATGCAGCTGCCTGTCATACGGACAACAAATGCTTCCGTGTGAAGATCTATAGGTTGTGTATATCAAGTAAAGAAACATAACCTCAGACATTGGCATTGGTGCTAGTTACCTCAATGAGCGTGAGACCAAAGGGCTCCACCAGTGCTGGATTGATAAAAACCCCCTTCAAGAGAGAAAGCCACCTTAAATTTATGGTGTTCATGTTGCAAAGAGAGAGGAGCTAAGAGTTCTGGTGGATTTCTAATGATTAATCTATTTTTTTGTACTATGTAAACCCAGGAGAAGCTACCACATATCTAAGCACATGGGAATTGGTAAGTTTAGATGCTGCATTCTCGCATCGAAATAAAAAATTCTGATCTGTATTCTACTGGAACCATGAGAACTGAGAAGTAGTAAACAGCAAGAGTCGTATTGTTTAATAGAACTTTACAGTTAAGTACCTTTGTTTTGGCTGCTAAACGATAAATATCTGGAACTTCAGATTGTTTGTGATGCTTGGGATAAGCTACTTGGCCATACAAGTCGTACTGGTCTATCAGCTTTAGTACATTCATGAGAACAACTGAGCTGCTATTAGACATCTCTTCGATGTCATCTCGGTTGCCTAGTATAAGTGTCTGGAACAGGTTTATTACCAAATAATTAGCAAGCCAGATGGATTAGCAGTATTTGCATTCGAAATCTTCATATAAATGTGTCAGTTCACTGTGTACACATGTGTAATAGAAGTAATAAACGCTGAGATGCTTACCAAGTTGGCTAGTTCTCGAAGAGGCTGACATTCACCAAAAGCTTTGACCAATGTAGTGACGTTTTTCTTGGGGTCAGGGCGAGACAGCGCAAGTATGGTTGGCTTATGAGGATTTGTGAAAAATCGCATTATCTGCAGATGATAAGTTTCATGCAGTTATTTGCTCCATGGATTGAAAGGCAGGGAAAAACAAGACTGTAACCTTTCGTTCTTGCAGGAGACTGGATATGACTTATGTTAGAACTAACACAATAATGAAAAAAAAAGTACCTCGGACCATATTGGAGGTACAGGCTTTTTTATCTGGTTTCGGTCAGGGCCAATTAGCGACTTAAGATCACCATCAGCTTCCTGTGAATCTTGTGTCAAGACGTAGCTGAAATCCATGCCTGGCGGTATAACCTGATGCCACAAAGACAGGTCAGATTGGTGAATGACTTTACTTGACTTCAGTTTGTTGTTCACTTAGCTGGTATCAGTCAATTGCAGTTGTTTACTTGTTAATAGTTTATATGATAGTCATTGTATTATCTCATTCATCAGATCTTGTGGGAGGCAGAAATGGACTTATACCACCATTCGTGGCATGTATCGGCCAAAGCAGCTGACCCCACGCCGTCTTCTAACCCTGAGCTTCCTCTCCAGATTGATATCAAACCCATCATACAGTCCCCACTGCGCCTCAATCTCTTGTCGTGTGCTTGTCACCACCATCTCAGCTGCATCAAGGCTCAGCTCTTCCGCTTCTATTCTCCTCATAATCTTGTATGTTTTGTTAATATCCTCTCTGGTAATTCTCCCTTGTTTAAGCAACTGCTCAAACTTGTTCCTCCCCAAAGAGTGACCAGTTAACACCATTGGCACATTCAACGTTCCTGCCAAATGTGCAGCTACTTCTCCTGCATCAGCATAGTGTCCATGAATTACATAAGGCCATATTGGCTTCCCTCCATTCACTTGCTCTCCCAGAGACCTTGCCATGTTCACTATGTGATTTAACGCCCCATCAACAAACTCGTGAATATGGGGCCAGAGTGACTCCTTTGGTATGTACCTGCATTTGAAAAACATGACTAACTAACTGTTCTTTTCCAAAGCAAGCATTTGAATACATAGATTCCAAGGAGTCTTATGTGATGGTACTTGTCTCGAGAACCACAGGGGATGCGGATAATGTAGGAACCACAGCTTCCGCTACCTTCTGGAGGGCATGATAACATCTCAACTGGCTCGCCATAGCTTGAGTCAACCTCTGTTGAACTGATTTGCCGTGTTAAGAGATCGACCCTGTGAACACCTTCAGTGTTGGCCAAAGCGCGAGCAAGCTCAACAACATATTTCACCTAATCATCCATTAACAAGACCCTTCAGGTTGTTGAAAA